TTTCTCAAGGGACCAGGAAAAGTGGTGATGGTGGCCATTTGCATGTAAGTCCTGAAACGATAATAAGTATGTCATTTTTCGTAGAAAGTGTTTACATTTATTACATAGTAGCTTGATAGTTAACCTAGAGGTTTGTATTGTTTTGGAGGAAGGTTATTAAGACGTTATAGTCAGCTAAGTTGTGCAGCTAGAGTCCGAGTACACATACACACCCAAGTTTGTACCATCTGTATTTTTAATGTGGTTACATGCTGAGGAATTGGCATCTGAAAATCCTTTCTTAATTTTATTGTCATGATAGTAGTCTTTTAAAAAGTTAGATTGTCCAAGGTTATTTATTAGATAATAAATCAAACTTGGACTATAGCTACTGAGAATATCTGCGAATTTGCTGATTCCTCCCATTTTTTTATACAAAAAATTGTGTGTGTGTGTCTGTGTCTGTGTCTACAAGTAAGGGAGTATGTGTGTGTGTATGCATTTAATATTTAGCTTTATTTTGTTTACAATATACACAAAACCTTTTGTCCCATTGTTAAGAAGAACATATTGTTTTGCCCTTTTATTTTTTTCTTCTGTCTTATTGATTTACATTATTTTACTTAACTAATGAATCATTATTTTAGAATGTACAGAAGCATTAATGTAGTTGATTAATTCTTTGTTTAAAATCTATATATTGTTACTTTTAATGATAAGATCGTGGCATAAAAAGAGAATAATGCATAATTCCTATCTCCGAGGATCTTCGTAGTATAGTGGAGGAAACACTTACATGAAACAAGCAATGTAGGCTTCAGATTAAGGAGACTTGATCAATTCTGGCATAGGAAGAAGCTTCCTAAAAGAAAATGTTAGAGATGATTCTTTCACGGACTTAGAACATGCAAGTCCATTTTGTGTGTGTGTGTGTGTGTGTGTGTGTGTGTGGGTGTTGTTGGTTCAGTGGCACTTAGAACATGCAAGTCCATTGTGAGTGAGTGTGTGTGTGTGGTGTGTGGGTTCAGTGGAACAGCCTACCTGATTGAGAGTAGCTTGAGCACAAAGGCACAAATGACTGGAGTGGCTTGGCTACGTTGAACAGATTTTAGAGTAGAACTATGAGGCTATGGCATGATACAGTGTGTTTATAGAGGGCAGGTAACTCACTATTCCGAGTGAATGGAAGAGTCACTAGACTAGAGGGAGGCATGTACAATAATATCGACACGGAAGGATGATGGGCTGAAGTAGGATAGCGGTAGTAGAGCCTGCGATGCAGGCAGCTTAAGAAGTGCTTGGGAGAAACTGCCAAGAATGGTGCTCAAGGCTGTGGCCGGGGATGACAAGAGGTGCAGAAGCGTGAGGCGAAGGGGCAGAGTGGGCACAGAAGATGACGAGTTCATTCTGAGTGTGGTTATCTGCAGGGTCCCCCGGTGCAAATGGCCAGTAGGTTCAGTTCTTTTGGGCATAATAAATAGCTTGCCTTTCAAAAGGAATGTATTAGGCATGTGATATATATGAGGGGGCTTCAAAAAAATTTGTGGGGAAACAGCATTAAAGGTCATGAAAATTTGCTATGATTTTTTTAATAGCGCCCTGTATAAAGTGCTTGGCCTAGTAGCTGGAGTACAATATGCACTGAATCAATATAATTTGTCTAGATTGTGCTGAAGCTCAGGAGGGTGATGTGGCCAGAGAGCTAGAGTTGAGAGTCAGTAAAGCTGTAGCAGTTGTTAAGATCACCAGGGAATGTGTGTTTACTGTGAGGAAGGAAAACTTTTCAGGACAAAACCTCAAGCAATACTAACGTGTGTGTAAGAAAATGGGCAGAGGAGAAAGCCTGCCCAGGTGACAAGTAAGGAGTAAGGTAGGAAGGTAACCAACGGGAGACAGTGCTCTAAGAAAATATGGTGAACACTACAAGAGGTTGAGAAATATGCAAAAAACGTCTTCCTGAATTTAGTAACAAGGAGTGGTTGGTGATCTGGATAAGGTGTCAGGTGGAGGCAGAAGCCGCTGTTTACTGAGGACTTAGTGTAGTGGTTCTCAACTTGTGGGTCCAATGACTCTTTCACAGGGGTCGCCCGGTGTATAACAGTAGCAAAATTACAGTTGTGAAGTATCAATGAAAATAATTTTATGGTTGGCGGTCACCACATGAAGAACTTTACTGTAGGGTCACGGCAGTAGGAAGGTTGAGAACCACTGACTTAGTTCACTGTGAGGAAAACGGAGACCGCGAGAAGAGACAGGATTCTGTGTGGAAGTTAACTGAGGAGGAGGAGGAGGAGGGGAGCAGGGAGCTCGCTGGAGAGGGATTTGCATGCTTTCTCCGTGTATAAATGGGAATGCTAACAGTGCATGATATTTTTCTGTGGGAATTAAGCAAGTAGTATATCATGGGAAGTGACTAGCGTAGTGCCCGGTGTAAGTTAGAATAGTCAGTCACTCTGTTGAACTTGGGGCACCGATTTCCTCAGAGTAACATCAAGGGTCTCTCTTTGTGGCCCTGGTTTGGGCTAGTTTTGTTCTTTCATTTGCCCTCTGAAGTGAAGATCTCCCCTGATGTCTTGCTGTGGACACACTGGTCTACTAGACAAAGATCGTCACTCCCCACCCAGGACACGCAATTCTTTTTCCTCTTTCAGCTTGCCCTCTTTCTCATACGTTCTCAAAGTACACTTAAGTAATTTGCTTACACCTCAAACGCCTCTCCATCTGAATTCTCAACGATAATATGTATATCATCTGTATTTTTCAAATCTGTACTCTTGATACCTATACAGTAATATGTCATTTAACCAAAATAATAATAATAAGCCATTTAAGACTAAGGATGCTTTTTAATATACTCTGAACAAAATCTAGTGTAATCGTGTGTATAATCAATTCAGAAAGTTTTGGTGGAAGTTTTTTACCAATGCCTGCACTAAATTGTTTTTGCTTTCTCTCCTAGCAATGGATTAAACTGTTTCTTTAAATTTCTTGCCTGGGTTTACACTGGTTCAGCAAGTATGTTCTCAGAAGCGATACATTCATTATCTGACACGTGTAATCAGGTGAGAGCTTGTCAAGGCTTTTTGAAATATTAATTTTAAAGTAAAACTTTAAGGTTTTCATCCAAAAGTTGGTCTTTTAAAAACAGATAATGCCTATAGTTGATTTATGGAAACAAATGACAATTATTTTACTTTTGAGCAGTGCAATGTGCAGAAATATGATTATAGTACATTACAGGAAGATTACAATTAGGCTGTAAACTTCCAGCAATGGAAGGTGAAGGGTAGGATTATCGGTCACTGGTTTGGGCAGAGGCTTTTGTAAAAAACATTCTTGTCTGAGGTAAAAATATGGACAGTAAATAAGTTTTTTGAATAAGCATTAAATGTCACATAGACTTATACATTAAAATACTTTCACATTAGACTAATAGCTTGGGTTACTTTATTTGAATTTGCAGATGAAGAAATTAAAATAACCTTAACTACCCCCACTCTCCTTTGACCTAATAGAAGAAGCCCTGGTGGTGTAGTGGTAATGAGTTGTGCTGCGATTCACAAGGTTGGCAGTTCGAAACTACCAGCAGCTTCTTGGGAGAAAGATGGGGCTTTTCTACTCCTGTAAACAGTTACAGTCTTGTAAGCCCACAGGGCCAGTTCTACCCTGTTCTATAAAGTCGCTCTGAGTCAGGCTTTATTCAGTAGCAGTGAGTTAGTTGACCTAATTAGTGAATACTATAAACCTGAGTCTTTTTAATCTTAAAATAAAAATTTCTGCTTGGTTACTTTACATTTTAGAGTGTGGTATATAAGTTTATTTAGACCTCTGTTATGTAAGAACATATTTGGGACAAATTACAGTAAAAGACATAGGCATGTTAAGAATATTTAAAACCAGGTTAAAAAATAATTTAAAATGTTAAGGTGTAGGGAAGTGATTTTAACTAAAACTTAAACCTCAGAACTAGCCTAACTCACTGTCAAATAGATGAGATTTTTTTGTGAATTAAGGAAAACAAGCATTTGGCATTAGTACTACTGGTGTTTACTTGAACTTAATTTTCATGTTCAATGAATTGATGCGTCCTCAAACCAGGTCTATCGTCACTTAGTCAATTCTGACTCGTGCCCGTATCGGAGAGAGTAAGACTGCCCCGTGGAGTTTCCACGGCGGTGATTTCTGCGGAAGCAGACTGCCTTGTCTTTCTGCTGTCGAGTGGAGTGGCAGGGGATAGAACCCCTGGTCTTTCAGGTGGTGCCCCCGGTGTGTTGTATGTATAACATTTTCCCAGTCAGTGGTGGTGTGTGGGAAAGAGGGAGTGGGAAGAGAGAGAGAAAACCCATGACCTCTAATTTGTTGAAAGCTTAACTGAACATAGATAAATTGAAATGCAGAAATGTTTGTACATCGGAGGAGTTTACTAGTTTCCATATCCAAAAAAGGAACCAATTGTCATAAAGACAATTCAGACTCACGGCGACTTTCTAGGACAGACTAGACTTGTCCCTAAGTTCGAGGGAGGAGTACTGCTAGGAGTAGGCACTCTAATACTGGGATGGGAGTTCCCCGTGGATAACTCTTGCCAAGGACAAAATAGGAAAGGTAAACGGGAAGTAACATGGAAATTCGGAAGCAAGAAAGGGGGAAAGATTGAAACAGAGGAAGGAACAAAACGTTAATTACAACAAATTCTCCCTATTTCCTCCCTTTCGCAGTCCAGATCCTTCCTTTCACACCTGTTCTTTAATTTGATGTATTATATATGAGACAATTTCAAAAATCTTTCCCATGAACTTTAAACAGTCTCCTCCTACTTTGATTGCATGAGTTTTGCATTTTACTACAAATGTATGTGCCCATACTCATTATACACTATTTTGTTTATTTTAAAATTTTTACTTTGTTTCCAAGAGTGGTGGGGGCTTCAGAAAGTTGATGGAACCATTTCATTATCTTAATTCCATTTCCCCCAACCTTTTTGAAGACCTCTTGTGCAGCTAGCTATGCATGTTAGTCTTTCCTGTAGAAACCAGACATTACAGACTGTCCTCATGGAGTTCCCTCAGAAGCGTAACCCAAAATGAGTTATCCCAGGTCTT